AAAACAAAAGCTCTTCTTTTAGACTACTTTGATTCCCAAATTTTCACACTTTAACACTGAAAACTGTCTACTGACTGCCTGAACTTCTGTACCTTAAACACAGGCTACATTTCAATTAGGAAGCTTTTTTACGTAACATGTCAACTTCATATAAAACCTCTCACTCAACTTTCTATCTACAGTTATGTATCATTTTACCTGCAATTTTTTGCCCGAAAATTTGCCAAAAATGGACTACTTTAAAAGCGTGTACAACACGGAACTTTGCAGAAATTCAGGAGACACCTGTTTGTACTTGTTTGTGGTGGTCAGGATTTTTAGCACACTACTTTTAACTCAGAAAGTCACTTTAAAGTATGTGATCCTCGTATTAAATGTTCTATCTGTTGCAGAGACCACCGGGACCAGGAAAAGAGATCCTGACCCACTGTCAAGACCATACCTGCTGGTCACTGGACTTTTATCAACCTATCACTTTAAGTACTGTTTAGTTATACTACCTAAACTTTCTGTAACTTTGCTACATTAAAAGTTACAAAAATGTAGAAAGCAGCTACATTATAAGTAATTATTAATCCTTGCAAAAAGAGTTTTGTTTTGCTGATTCCCTTTCAAACATCACACACAGCTTACCTGTAGTACATTTCACTCTACAGAAAGAAAGCACAACATTGCCTTTTCTATTTTCTGTAAAGAAATAGGACATATTTCCAACAGTCATTATGAGACCAAAAGTATTTCCCCAGAAATCGACTCCTTCATTGCTTCAAAAGAGTTTGTGGAACACCTATAATGTGTTGTATATTTTGTTAATATGAATAATCCTGCTTGTTATTTGACAACCAGAGACAAACACATACAATTCTAGGTAAATCAGGGTCTAGATTTGTATGTTTATTGTATGCCTTTTGCAAATTCATAATTGCAAGCATGTTGCAGTGGAAATATAATAGCATGTAAAATCACATGTTTATAGTATAATACATATTTTAGAGATTTAGATCACTCCGAGTCAGAGTGGATATTATGATTCATCAAAGAATTGTTCATTTGATCATGATCATCACAAAAATGTCTTTGTTTCATCTAATTTTTAACCATGTTTGACTGTGTTGAGTGCTTAAAATTGCATTATTCATCTTTGAATGTTTTATTTTTTTTTGTTTTTAAATTAGTAATTGCTTGCTACATCATGTAGATTGTCATTTCTTCAGGATAATTTTTTTTCAGACTTAAAGGACTTTAAAAAGAGGGAATCAAATTAAAGTTTTGTGGTTGTTTTGAACAGACTATATTCTGGACCTTCCTTGAAAGTTACAAATGCATTTGCACTGTCATTGTGACATTGAAAAATCAGAAAACTTTGTCAGATACAAATGCTAAATCTTGACTGTGCATGTTATCTTCACCAGTAAACATTACAGCTAGAATTCATGATCATTATGAAATGTCTCTTCATTTTATCGTAATTTTCCATTTTGAATGCTTTTATTTGCCTTAACATTGGTAATTGTTGCTTTATCGATTGTTTAGTGTCACTATATAGATTTTTTTCTTATATAGTCACATGAAGGACAATTGTCGTAATAGAAATGTTTTTTAAAAGGGTGGATGTGGATCATAATGAAGAAGATATCAGGGAAAACAGTTTGATCACAAATGCTGTTGAAAACATATCCCATTGCTATACAGAATGAAACAATTATCAAAAGTGCTCTCCTCAATAGGAAAATGTACTGTGTTCTCCATCATATTTGCAATAAAATATTAGTCACAACCTTAAGCTAGGTATTAGTTAGGAATGTGAACTCTTTCAGAAATGACAACAAATAGACGCTGAGGGAGGGCCAGGCCTAGCTGAGTTTCAACAATGGCATTTAGAACAAAAAATTCAGAGGATCGCAAACATGCCCTTAATCCCAAGATCTTTCATTGTCATTTTTAAGGGTCGGCATGGAAGGTCCCAATCACGCTTAGCACACTAACTTTTGTAAGGCAGTGACCACGATTTACACTTGACATTAAATCAGAGTTGTTCGACTTTAAATTATGCAAACAGTAGCAATTAGGTGCGAAATTCTGCAGAGCGACGACCCCGTATTACGCTTCACTTAATTGTACAGGCTGGATGTTTTATTACACACATTACATGTAATGGTGAATAGAACGACCCGGCATCCCGTTGTGCAAAACTAAAACAGCTGATTACGCATCGCGGCATGCAGACCCTATTTTTGAAAGAGTTCATAAATGAAAGTAGACTCACAGTCAAGTCCGTCATGTTCTCTTGTCTCGTGGATGAAGGTGACAGGTTCCTCAGAAACACAGGCGGGTCCTCCAAGAATGTGGACAGGAACACAGGATAGCTGACAAGTCCCACAATGTCAAGCCTAAGGTGTAAAGAAAGATCACAGGCTAAATATAACTACTCACAGAGCATCATACATTGCAAAAGTCATCTGAAAACTCGATTTGGGTTGGGGTTTGAGTTGCGCTAAGCTTTGTTTAATAGAACATTCAAGAAAAGGTACACATAGAATATCATGACCATAGAAAATTAGACATAATACATATCACATAATAATATAGCACATCAAAACAATCAATATGACAAGTTGACAGAAGAAACACCATGATACTAGACATTAGCCAATGGCAAATTGAATCAGACCTGAAATACAATAATTTCTTAACAGGTACCGTCACAACACATGAAATGCATTTCAAACATCAGTTAAACAACATTTAAGCAAGGCTCATATTGATAAAATAAGGCAGTAAAAGGTGAATAAACTGAACTAAAACAGTAAAAGGCTTTGAAAAAAGCGGCTTTGAAAAAGCGCCCCTTAACGGCCGTTTTATTAAGTGCAGGTTTAAACCCAGGGAACCCGGGCGCCACAAATACTTGACACCATTCTGTGTTTTAGCTTCACTTCATTACAATACGTTCGGTTTAAATAGTAACCACTATATAAAGGACAATGTTAAGTGCGACTCACCACCGAAAACGTGCGTAACGCGTCTTCCAAGACGAATTTTACCGGAGCTCTTTCCCTGCCATGCAAACTCCGCGGCCATCTTCCCGAAGCGTGGTCTTAGCACCTGACAAGAGAACACCAGAATTTGCATATGATATTCTCACTTAAATATTGAAATCAACTTAGTTTGACACAGGTGTGATCTTCATTTGTTATTGAATCATCACATTTTTCATTTCTTTGCTTAAAGCTTTATAACGTAATAGACCAACACCATTATCATTATATCGTTATTTGCCTTACAAATATATCATTCGACCTAAAGTATTAATTTAATGTTTTATTTCAATAGATGACAGTATTAAAGTTGGTTTTAACAGGTTTTAAGACAATACACCTTTACTTTACACAGTCCCGAATTGCAATTTGTTGTTATGCTTTGAACAAAATATTGTCTCGAGTGTTTCTTAGTTTGACGTACCTTACAATATCCCTTCTAATGCAAGCATTAAATTTTGAATCGCTCAACTATTAGGTAAATTTTGTGTTTTTTCGCCCTCTGTGTAGCTAATGCTAACGCCTTTCCTGGCGCCCTCCCCTTCCATCAATTTCTTTCAGAAAGCTACAATCTTTCCTTGTTATTTTCCTTAATTTAGTGCACTGAATTTCTCTATTTAAATCAATGTGGATTAAAGAATAATCAAACGGCAGCCTTATCACTTACCTTTCTATTCAGAAGGAAACTCTGCATCTATATTTCTGACACGTTAAAATGGATCAAAAGCGCCATGGATCAAAAGCGCACCACAACGGCGATAAAACATCACTGCAGTAATAGAGCAACTGAGCCAATGTATTGCTGCAATTCTGCCATGGACTGCTAGGGGCCGCTTTTGATCCATGTACAGCACTTCACTTTGGTAACGTGTTCGCAACGTATCCCGAATCCTATCGTAGATATGGAGAGCTCTCTTCGAGGCTCTGTGGTCCCTTTAGACTAGTATCTCTCTGCTGCCTGACTTAACTATGTCTCGGTAGGAGTTTTGCGCGGTTTACGGTACAATTCTCACCGCGCAAAACACACAACAGGTGCCTACAGCCGGGCGGCGGAAAAAATGCAACTTATCACATTTTTTGGTGCCCAAGTTTTCAGGGTATACTCCTTACGGTGTCTATCATATTACTGCATAATGCATTCGCCCGAATTTTCTTCATTCCCGAGTTACACGTCAAAACGTGATTTTGCGATCAGCTGATCGCTTGCAGAAGTGAAGTTTTCGCTGTCTGAGACATTACCATATGAATGAAAACCAAGCAGATGTCAGGAGGAAATAAAGATAATAACTTTAGCTTTCGGATCGCCACAGTATACGCCACCTTCGTTGGAAAACTTTTGTTGTTGTCTTTTGGCTCATTCATAGTATAATTATCATTCATAAATATGTCATCATCCATATCTTGCTAAGGAACACTTGGGATACGAGATGGGCTCTTATGGGGTTTTTAGAGCCTGGTTTTTACTCATGGTCTTGTTCTTGATTTTGAGGCTCTTCCCGACTATCTAGATATCACAAATTTATCAGGAAAGAACCGTTTCAGTCTTGCATCTGTTCAGTTTGAGACAATTATTCCTAGAGCGACTTGCACTAGCGGCTAAAAATGGAGCTTCCTTTTTAACAATACTTTTGCCATTTCACTAACCAATAACCTTTGAAAAACGTACGGTTTACATACAAAGTAAAATCCTTGTAGTAATACACGGCTAAGCCATTGCTTGAGATAGGCAGGATGCACAATAGACTGCTGATCTTATTATGAAATAATCAAAATACAATAATACATGTAATTATGTGACAGAGAAGTAATATTGGGAAATTTTGATTTATTTCCATAGATTTACCATAACTCACATGTCATTACAGAAATTCATATTACATCAAGGAGACAAAGCATCACTTTGTATCCTACTGCACAATTCAAGTTGTACAGAAACATTCCATGTAAAATATGTAGTACTACGTATGTAAAATATCAAATATTATTGCAAACTTACGGATCCTGTAATGGCTACGTCAGGAAAAGTTACAGGAATTTTGTTGTAATGATATGACCTACACATGTAGCAAATACAACTGGCAAAACATCTCTATATGTAGGTGTGATACAAACAATTTCTCATATAAATATCTGTTCCCTTACACATAAACTCAAATCAAACAATATCAATCTTTTTATACTGTGGATAAAATTCATGTGTAGAAGCATAATTCTAAACTGGAGGAACCCAGCCTCCCAGAAATATCTTTTGTTACAAGCTTATATCATATTATTGTACATTTCATACCTTTATGAAAACAATTGTGAAATATGCACAGTCACTAATCACTATACAAAGACACGCTAACTGATCAAATAAAAGGTGTATGATCATCAGGAAGTTATGAATTACTAAACTAAAGTATACATTATACTTTACCTTTTAATTTGAGACCTCATTGTTACAATATACAAGCCTATTGCAGCATAAATTTGTTACTGAAATAAAGATTCAAATGCAGTCTTACCAGATTGAATATAATGCTGGTGATATACCATAGACTCATGTAATAAGGCACTTTAAATCAACTAATTTAGAAAACACTGCCAAGAGAAAAATTGCTTCCCTAGCAGTACTACTTGGAAGTAAATTGATATCTACACATCTTATACATACTGTCATGTTATACTGGACATCAGAATGTCATGGTTTCAAAAGTCATGCATGGCTCCTTAAGTAAAATACTGACAGACCACTGTTGAAAAACCGACTATTTCACTATAGATCTATCTGCAATTATAGACTAGAACTATTTCCCTATCGTGGATATAAAACCTTAAAAAGTTTGTTCCTTAAAAACATTCATTAACTGCAAACCTGATGAGTTTATCTTACAAACATTATGTTTTTAAGAAGGTTGACATTGAAAAAGAAAATACTAAACAGAACCAAATTAATTACATTCTGCATTACAATAGCTATTTTGTACATGGCACTTTTGAATTCCTAACTTACATGTACAAAAGACACTAGAACCATACAATATGGCAGTGTATGTAATGCCATATCTGTCTTATAAAGCTTACAACTCTGAATTTCCAAATAAAAAACATACATAAACATACTGTGGCTTGATAAGCAAAATTTGTTTGTAGGAAGTTCCGATTCCTCTGAAGAAGACAGAAAAGTCAGACTGATCCAGCAACTTAAAGGCTTAAACCTTAAGAAGTTGTAGAGATCTGTAATTCTCCCAGGAAGCATTTGTGTAGTACTACCCTTTCTGAATCCTCCTCAGCACTGGTCAACAGAACTCTTCATTCCCTGAGAAGTCACTGCAGAAGGAACAGAATATAATTTAGAACAATTATGATTAATTGGCTTCTACATGCAATATATTGTACAGTAACTTCATTTTACTGTGGTACCAAATCTGTCTGTGTCCTCATCAGTGTTTGGACACAGTATCAACGATTAGCCGATTGTACAGTGAGGAAAGTTGTGTAAAGTGCTTTTCCCAAGGGCACAACATCAGGTATGTAAGGGGATTGCACCCGGGACCTCTTGGTTCCGAACCGAATGCTCTGACCATTATGCCACACGATGCCACATGATGCCACATGTAATTCAAAGTTTAAGTTTGTTTAATAGTTGAAGCCCTGGCCTTAGGTACTGACCCTGCGTCCATATCATCCCCCATGTACTGCAGCAGCTGTGGAGCCTGTTCTATCACCACGTTCAGCAGCTGGTCCAGGTAAGACTTCTGCTCCGAACTCTCTCGTACATTCTCCTTCAGCGCAGCAAGGATGGTGTCCTGTACAGCAAAGTCATGACAGGCAATGAAATCTAACTTTTTAACATTTCTAGGACAAAACTCTTGACATCGACGAAGGTTAGAAATCCTGGTAATGAGATACACATTAGGGAAATTGTTACTCAAGCAACTTGCGACAGATTTTGAAAACTGTCAGATGTTTCAAGTAGCATTTTATGGATGTTACAGGTTAAACTGTTGGTTTATGTGGTTTCTATTTTACAGATTTCACAGTTTCTGTAAACAGACAAGCACTGTACCTTGTTAGCATCTTTTAGAGTCTCCCAAATCGGTGGCTCATCCTCTTTTCTTCTATGGCCTGTATAAAATATAGAGTAGTGAAATTGGTGAAATTGTCTCAAAACTCCATGTTTCACCTTCTAACATATTACCGTACTCACAGAATGCATTTCTATCTTTAATCTTTTTGTTAAAAAAAAATCAACATGTTAAATCTTTGTACCTTTCTTTGTCTTCCTCCTAAGACCAGGTCTTCTGTCCTCCTCGTCTTCCTCCTCAAGCATCTGTAACTCCTCCAAGGCGTCGTCTCTCTCTTTCTGCAGGGCCAACATGGTCGCTTCCTGTGGGAGTCAAGGAAGCAAGGAAGACATGTTTTTCTTCTTGTGTTTTTTTTAGAATATGAAAGTTCAATGTCAAATAGCAAGGTCATGCACTCAACACGGTTATCCTACATATTTGGAAAGCTTTTGAGAAGGACTATCACATGAAGGCATTTGCGTTTTGTCCCTTGACTTGGTAACAAAATCTTGTCTAGCCCATGGACTAATTATAATGTGGACAGGGTTGATCATTGTGCAGTATAAGAAAACTGTCAACTTTTTATCTGTTTCTGTTTTTGATTACAGCATAACTCAAGAAGCTCTGGATGAGTTACAGAGAATACTGACCCTGGCCCTGAGTTCCCCCTCCAGCCTGCTGACCTGGTTCTCCTGCTGGGCCAGGTCTCTCTTCAGCCTCTTCACTTCCTGTAACTGTCACAACAACAAAACTTACAATCATTACAGGGGAAAGCTTCAAGGCTGTAAACAACAAGAAATGATGTACATGTACATTCAATTTATAGTTCTACAAATGTCTCCAATCCTTGTTTTTTTTCCTCTATTGTATTATTGTAACACCAGAGAAAGAGAGAAAGAGAGGGCAAGACTCTGGCTCTCAGACTGAGGGATCAAACCTGTGCCAGATGCAGCATATCAGTCCACATCCTAGTGCACAACCACTGGACCAAAAGGTCCAGGACCCATTGGGCAGGGCAGTTGGTAAGGCTTATGTACATGTACTTGACAATGTATATTATTTTGTACCTCACCGTTATAGACATAATATACATTTTTGTACTTCACTCACAACACGTAGCAGACTTCAAGAGCCAACTGTCAAGAAAACATTCAGCTGATGTGCCAACAAGAAATAAAAGCAGTATAAAATGGTCAGTAAAACTGATACAGCACACCTGATCAGACACATGGTCCAGTCCATTAGTGATGGGGGTGGGGACAGGTGTGGGGAGGGGGATCTCCTTGTGCTGTAACTCCTCAATCTTATCACGTAGATCCTTCCACGTCCTCTCTGATACCTCCAGCTATACGAACATCAATACAGATTAACATCAAATCCTGCATTTTAACTTGTTACCCAGGATATAGATAGACTTGTGCAATGTATATTAAAACTGTTCTTGACGAAACCTATGTTTTGTTGGTACTATAACAGCATCTTAGACAATATGCTGCCAGCAGCTATCTGCTCTACTCTACTGCTCTTCTCTACTCTACTGATGCTATCTCAATCACAAGAGAGAAAATTCTCTTCTGTGAACGTACCTTCTTTTTCAGAGTTTCAACTGTTTCCTCTGAGTTCTGCTTTTCCAACAAAACCTCCTGCTCTCTGTCCTTCAATCTATAACAATCAGTACTCAGATGTTAGACTCCAATAGTTAAAAAGATTATCAATGCAAGCCACAAATTATTATTACTGTAACATTAAATGATACAACAAAGCACATGGTGACATAATGAAGTTTCATAAAAAGCAGTACTAGTGACTGTTATATAATCATATTTGTAAGCAAAAAATATAATATCATATGAAAAAACTAACATTATTATGTGGCAACAAACTTTGAATTCATGATTGCTCAGCCCTTTCGACTAGCTGAAACATTGGAGTGAGACCTACCTGTCCACTTCCTGTCTCAGCCTGGTGTTTTCCTCCTGCTGCTCCTGTAACTCTGCCATCACCATGGTGACGTCTTCCTTCATCCGAGACAGTTCTCCCTCAACCTGAACCAACAAAAGAAACATTTTTGTTTTTTCATGAAAAGTTTCCTCTTTGGTGCTAGTGTGTGATGCTCAAGAAATATTAAATGTTGTTCTGTGGATCACATTAACTTTACAATTCTTCTTCTAACCCAGAGGACTGTATATTTGAATAGTGTCTTCAATTTTTGCACACTGAAGTTGCATGTTATTAGAAAGGCTTTCAGTCATATTCTCTTTCTCACATAGACAAAGTGTCAAGCTATGATACAAGTTACTGTAATAACGAGTTACTGTAACTCCGATCCTGACAATTACTAGTTATGCATGTAAATCATAGTTTAAAGCAGAGACAGGGTTCCCAGCAAATTATTACATGGTTTTAGAACAGGATTGCTGTCCAGCAGACCATGGCATGGTACATCTGAGAAGTTACACCCTTACCCTGTCCACTTCCTCCTGTTTGGTGTTCTCCGGTACTTTCCTGAGTATGACGACCTCAGCAGGCTGTTTGGTACCCAGGAGGGACCCCAGCTTAGACTGGTCCACACTCCTGATGTCTTCACCATTGATCTCAAGCAGCCTGCACAAACAAAAACACAGAACTTTGCTCGTCAATCAATATCAAACATTAGGACAGTGCAGAAAATAAATTTTTGTCATTTTTTTTGCAAAGTTGAATGGACCCTACTCCATTGTACATAAGTGCCATTCAGGAAGTGTAGGTGTCAAAATATGACACCACACGAGTGTGTTTAAAAGCTTGAAACACAGCTGTCAGCCATGTTTGTTTACGTTCTGGTAGTTTGCGGTGGCACAACAAACTGAGTGCGCCTTGTGTGGGCTGTTTTAGCACCAACCATTAATGTCAGAAGTATGAGATAATTGCACAAATATGTCGAAAAGTGGAAGTAGTCAATTACAAGCACACAGATATTTTTTCAAATAAAATATTTCAATTGTTGATGCAAAAATGTTACATAATGTCCCTTTAAGCCAAATAACAAGAAGAAGGATAACGTGAGCAAAGCTTGGTAAGAACTGACCTGTCCCCTTCTGTTAACCCACAGTCCTTCCCCACAGACAGGACTTTCAGCATCTTGTTCTTGTCAGGAGAAGCTGTGAAGCCGTAACCTCCCGGTCCAGGGGTCAGGGTCAAGGTCATAATGGCAGTCATCATGTCAGGGGGCACCAGGGGATACAGGGACACTTTGTGTTCAGATTTTTCCTGAAGAAGATAAAATCACATATGCATTTAGACATGCAGAGTTTTATTAAAAGAGGCATGTTCCAGATGGAATTTTGGTGCAACGATAGTATGACAATATCATGTACCTGGTAGCCAGTATTGTATTGCAGACGGGAATACAAACATTGCATGGTTTACAATGTTTAGCACAGTGTTTGTCCCATAAGTCTTTTCAAATTTGAATAATAATTCATAAGCTTTCAAAGACCCTATTTTTCCTCTGTAATTCTTAAAGTTTTAGAAGAGTATACTGTGCATCCTTAAACTCAAGAATCTGTTTTTTCCCTCAGACAGTGCATCCAAAACTGATTAGTTTATTTAGAGTATTTTGTTTTTTGTTTAAAGTTTAGGGTTTCAAGTTTTTTGTTTATAGTTTAGGAGTATACAATCTCTTCAAGAAGCTACCTTTTTCCTCTGTGCTTCCAGTTTTGCCTCCTCCACCTCCTCCAGTAGATCAGCCTGTCTCTGCTGCAGACTCAGTAGTGTGGTCTCCTCCATGGCAAGTTTGTACTCCAGCTCTGCATGCTGGATGCTCGCATCTATGGTACTGTGGGAACAACAATATAACCTTTCCATTAAACCCACTTAGACATATGTCTAAAGGCTACAAATCAACAAATTAACCAGCACTTAAACACTGTCACAATGTGCTATATCATCTACTTGGAAGTGAAGAAAAAAAACAATAAGTGACAGCTTTTCCTAGCAGCCTGTTGCTGCAGTAATAGTTATATGGACCTGTCCTTGGTGCTGATCTCTTCTTTAAATGGGACACTAATCTTACAGCAGTGGTCGAAATACTTTTTTTCAGTGCTCTGCAATATTGCAGAAGAGTCAAAATTTCGTCCTGCAATTTGGAAATACTTTCTGCAAATACACAGCCCCCATATTACAACATTCTGAAACCAATAATGCCTATTTTTACATCATATATATATATAACGGTATAGCTTTGTAAATCTGTAGCATTACTGAAATTCTTCAAAATATCACTCTTTTAAATATGTTCGGACCGTAAAATTTTATCGGTCCGGTCCAAAAAAACCGAAACGTCGGTGGACCGGTTTTTTTGACCGGCACAAAAATCTATATTTGTAAATGTTACTGAAATTATAACTGATGATCACTACACTGAAAAAAGAAGCCTGCCAGGAATATAAAAATCCAGCCTTCAAATAAAAGAAGTTTACCTTAGTCTCCGTCTCTCTCATTTTGCAACAATATTTTCCCGTATTTTGGTACCGATAGTCATCTAGAAATCATAAAGGACAAGTCTACGGGCCGTGCTTGGTTCGGATCGAGCCGAAAATCACTGATTTTACACCATATCGTCACAATGTGATGCACGTAAATTTTCACTCGAAATGAGAAATTACCGCCCGACAAAACGGACCATTAGGTTCCCAGTGCTGTATTTCCCTTTTGTTCATGTGATCAACTTGTTTTCTTTGCTTGAATCGTGCAAAATACCAAGGAAAAACATAGAAATTTCGGCAAATTAACGCTGAGGCGAGTGTGGTTTTTCGGAGGAGCCATGTTTCCTTTGCCGTGTTGCCTGCTGGGAAATGCTCAGCGAAAATTGCCGAGGCAGTTGTCGGGTCCTCCCGGGAGACAAAATCTAACATCGGAAAATGGCGAGTGCCCATATTTGGTTATCGTCGCCTTTCCTCGCCTTGTCAAAATCGTTTAACTTTGACCCAAAATTCCCTTATATGGGACCATTACAGTCTGCTGGAAAACGCCGGCAGGTTCGTGCGACGCAGGTTTTCGATCTATTCACAGCGCCACTGCTTTGCTAATTGAAAACTATTGAATCCGGAGCCTATTTTTTCCTTCTGCAAAATTGCAGATTGTAAGATTTTCTCTTCTGCAATCTTGAAAATCTATCTGCAAATTGCAGACTGCAGACGGGTATTTCGAACACTGTACAGTATTTGTGTACCCTCAGCCTGTGTGCCTTGCATTAGCTCAACTTCTGGCTAGCCAAAGGTAAACATTATTTCTATGCTCCTATGTTCTATGTTTCTAACTTTTGATTGGAGCTGTCCTTGGTGCTGATCTATTGTCCACAGCATCTTTGTGCGCAACCTAAAAGTAAACATTACTTCTTATGCAGGAAGAGGCTCCAGTGTGGCATCTTCCTGCTGAGTCTGTCCTTGGTGCTGACTTCTCAACTATCCTAGTCATTCTATCTGTTTACAATACAGTCTGTACCTTGCCTTAGATTTAAACAATGAGATATACATCTTACGTGTTACTGCTATGTTCAAGCCTGGCCTCTTTATGTTGGTGCTCTCCTTGGTGTTGATTTTTCAACCTAGCCATCCTATCTGTGTACAATACAGTCTGTACCTTGCCTTAGATTTAAACAATGAAACATGAATCTTACATGTTACTGCTAGGTTCCAGCTTGGCCTGTTCCTGCTGTAATTGTTGAATGGCGCTCTCCTTGGTGCTGATTTCTCAACTAACCTAGCCATCCTATCTGTGGACAATACAGCCTGCACCTTGCCTTAGCTTTAAACAATGAAACATAAATCTTACGTATTACTGCTAGGTTCCAGTCTGGCCTGTTCCTGCTGTAGTTGTTGAATGGCGCTCTCCTTGGTGCTGATTTCTTGGTTAATCTGGTCTAACTGTGACTGTAGAGACTCCAGCACTCCAGCATAGTCACCTGGGACAAGGAAGGAACAGACTTGCCATTCTAACAAATTGCATCTACCCATCTAAATTTTACATTGTACAAATGGATGTTGAAAATGTATACTGTCATATGCTACTGGCAACTTCAAAAGTGTGATAACAATGCACAGCTAAAATATCACAAGTAAGAACTACACTTTAAGTCTATGACTATTATCTGGATTTCAGTTTTCACTTCAATACAGTCAAACCTGCCTATAGTGGTCACTCAAGGGACTGGCCAAATTTGACCACTATGGCCAGGTGACCACTATAGAGAAACAGCCGGTTAGTTGACCCCCCCCCCAAAAAAAGGGACACATGCTTTGAGTACCAACAGTGATGTCTTTATTCTGAAACATATGAATACATACATTTGCAAAGGTAAACCCCTTTTATATGTACATGTGTTAGTTCAATAATTTGTTGTTCTTTTGCTTTAGTTGTACTTTATTTTGTACTTGCTTGAAAAAAAAAGAAATACAGAAATATTGCATGGAAACATTAACTTGACATCAAAGATACATACACTCAACATATTCAGTTAATCTATTCTGGGACAATGAAACCATTCACATAATTTAAAACATACAAAATCACTGGTTGTCATTTACTGTTCTTGTGTACATACTAGTACTACATGTGGCTAAAGAAAAGAAAGCAAATCAAGCAACAAACTTTCAACTCCAAACAAATTTCTATCGACTGCAAAATCATTTAATCTAAGCTCAGCTTTCGACGATTTCTTCTCACTCTCTCTGCCAGTCGAATCACTTCCACCTTTTGGAATAAGTTTGGCGTCCGTCTTTCCGCTTTCGCCATCGTTTCTCCGCAATCGCCACATTACTAGTTGTTGTTGTTGTTAGTCGAAAAGTGGAAGAGAACGACATCGCCATGTTTTTGTTCTTTGGTGAACACTTGCTTCGCGCGACCGACATACGCCACAGCGAATTCCAACCACGTAAATAAGTTATTTTGTACCAAGATGCTGTCTATTTAGTTAACAGCAAAATAATTGTTCGTCAGTTGCCAGTTACTTTCCGTTTTTGGTCGTTTTTGAACATGAAAACTTAGCGAAAACTCTCCTTTGTTTACGGCTTGGGTTTCTCCCCGCGTGGGTTGTCTGCCTCTACCATTATGCCAATGTGGTAGTCAACAGAAAATTTTCTCCTTTCAGACTTATATCTTTTCTAAAATATCCACTACAGTGTTAAATTTACATCTAACATTAATTGTAGTAATGTATTTCAAATGTTTTATAATGTAATTACGTCATTTGACGCTAATGAAGTTAAATAAAACTCGGTGTATCTACCTCCATAACAGTGGAGTCTTCCGATGACCCCAATTGACCTCCCTCTGCAGCTAACATGCGCCATCTTGGAAAAATACGAAACGCATTTTCGAGCCAAATTTCTTTAATTATGCCCATGAAAAACGGAAGCTATGCACATATCTACGCATTTCAAGGAATCGAGAAACCAAATATGGATATTCTTAAGTTTTTTTGTAAAGATAATTTGCCGTAATCTTCGCCGAGCGGCCGAGTCCATTGAAAGCCCCATGCGGCACGCACGGCACTGGTGTTGGGGAAAACGCAGATATCAAAGACACCCGCGACCGCAGAAACTTCGTGTCAAAAGTCAGTTTTCCTTTATTTCATACACATATGGAGTCTAATTTTCAGTTCACATTTTAGTAATGTAGCGATCGGAAAATTATCACAAGGCTCATAACGGTCGTAGCCCGAGGTGGGGTGGTGTTACGGCCGTGGTGCTTAGCGGGTTACGGCCAGCCGCGACCGCTATCGGCGGTGTTGACATGCCGGCGGGACCGGAATGGGGTGACCGCTGACCGCGTTGAACAGTGACCGCTATAGACACGATTCTTAATGCTTACGTCAATGGGAAAAATTCAAGGGACCGGCAAAAACTGACCGCTATGGCCGAGTGACCACTATACAAAGGTGACCGCTAGTACAGGTTTGACTGTATTTCAAAGTTACAACAAATAGAGAACAGGTCAGAAAAGTGAATTTACATGTATAAGAGAATACATGTTAGGTTTTCTTCCAGCATACCTTGTATCTTTGCCTCTACAGTGCTGTGTCTTCTGTGTCTGTCTGCTTCTAACTGCTGTACTAAGTTGGCCTCCTGTTGCCTGTAGCCATCCTGTAGCTCTGACAGGGTCTTCTGTAGGCTGGCACACTGCAAGGACACAACATTGTGGATTCAAACAACTCAACAAATTCTAATTCATGATGTTTCTCCATTGGGCGTGGTAGTATTTAAGGAGAGCCACAGCTTCAGAATATTCAAGATTGACGTTGGTTAGTTGGGCAGCCTTGGCTGCATATCAGTTAAACCAATAATACAACATGAAATTGGAGATTTCAAACCTCTGTGAAATATTTGGAGATTTTGTGAACTCCATTGCCAACAGCCAACTTCAAACTTCTGCTTGCTCTCTGCCAGCTTCTGGGACCCCATTTCCTGTGACTGACCTTTTGTTGTCTGTAAACACCAACCTGTCTGAGAGATTTTGTGAACTTCTTGCTTACTATGGACTTCCCCACTGGCACCCTGCCACAGCCAACTGCAAACTTCCTGCTGCCTCCCTTCCAGTGTTTGGGACCCAATTTCCTGTGTCTGACCTTTTTATGGTCTATAAACACCCACCTGTCTGTCCCTCTCCTGCAGCTGTTGACTGGTCTCCTGTAAGGCGGTGATGGTGGCTTCCTTCTTCTCCAGCTGCTCCTTAAGTTCCGCTACCTGTCTCTGAAGGTCGGCCAAGGTCACGGCCTGCTTGTCAACCTCTGACCCTGGAGGCGTGGTCAGAGCCTGCTCTATGCTGGCCATCTGTGGATGAATCAATGAGTGATGTAACCATGAGATCTTTTTCTAGTACGTTTTGGGGAAGGTCACATCTGACACACACACTATCACTAGTTTATTGTGGATTTTTTGAGACCATATATTAAGCTATACATGTAGTACATGGTGGGCTTGAAAACTAAGAAAAATACTTTTAAAAAACCCCAAAGCTTACCTCTGCTTCTACCTTATTGAGTTTCTCCATATCGACTGCCTTAGAGTCAGACCCTGAAGAAGTGATGCTTCCCTGGAACACACGAACATGGAAACTCTCAAAATCAGCTCACCATCCACTCTCTCCCACCAAAAATTTAATAGAAATTTCACTTTGAACTTCACTTTACATAATGAAGTCTGATAAACTAAGATAAAATCTCTGACTCACTGCTGATGTGTTGGAAACAGTTGATGTCTGTGAGAGTAGAGATGAGTTCCTTCTGATGACGCTGAAAATATAAGAAAGAGTGTTTACATGTTCATTAGAGCCACACACATAGACAGATAGATCGGAGAGACCAGAAAAAACAGTACTTCACTATCTGGTGATGGAATAAGAAGAAAGCAACAGAACTGTACCTAGCTATAGGTCCATCCATCTGTTCCTCTCTGCTGTCCTTGTCACACACAACAAAACAGGTACAGCTGATCTGGCCTGGACAGTCAGTCTCTGCTAAGTCACGGATTCCTGAAGCAGAAAAAACACATCATGCAATAGTTTGGTTGCTGGTATGACTCTAAATCTAGATATTTTGCATCTAGCTCTGTGCAATCCTGGCTAAACTAATGAATAATGAGCAAATTAACTGCAGCTTGTGATATTTTCTTACCTCCTTCCTTGTCTATTTCCATCATACAGAACAAGTCCAGGTCCACGTTCTTCAGTCCAAACTTCCGCAGCGTGAGACGCATCACGTCCAGGTATACGGAATTCTGGGATACCTTGAAGCTCTTGCCACGGGACTTGTGGCCAGTTATTCTGCAGATAACCTGTGAAATAAGGAATTAGTGATGTTGTTTTGTCTTGTAAACTGCCATTAGGAGTAATACACAAGTTTTTGACAGTCTGTACAAGCTGTGTTAGACTGGACTGTAAGATTTGAACCACTCACACCAGGAAGGACCCCTACTCTTTTCAATAGATGAAGATCATCAAAATGAGGTGTGGCTCTCCTCAAACACGGGGCCTCTGACTTTACGTCGCAATCCAGAGGACAATCTTAACCAACCAAATTTTGTACATGTAGGTACTCATTTTCACATACTGTAATTCCTGATTTGTTCACTGTACTGATAAGTTCACTGTTTTCACTGTCTCTTGTGTAAAGTGAACTTATCATTACAGTTAACAAATAATTCCTGGATTTTCTTGTTCCTGCACTTGTCACCACCGTGAACATATAGTTACATGAACATGTCCATTTTTTTCAGACCGTGAAATTTTGCTACCGTGAACATAAAGTGAATTACAGTACTTTGGGTGAAGAAATACGTGTAGGTGTTTTAAAGTCGGTTTCTGAGTCAACAACCTAACCACAAGGAACAGTTTATCAGTCGTGTGATGTCAAACACAGATGTAGGGTACAGTACAGTGCCTTACCTTGATAGACTGACCAGAGTCCCATCTGCGCAGCTCGAAGCGGTGACTGGTGAAGCTGGGCCATGTCCTCTGTACGGCTAGTGGCCACTCTGTCCTGACTAGTCTGCGCTCACGACCTATACAGGACCAAAATGAATTAAAGAACTCTGATTTCATTCAAATACATGTTGCCAAATCTGGTAAAATTGGTCATATTTACATGTGCGTTGTCAGAGATTTGACTTTTGGTAGCCTGGGTGCCATCCTCTGTAGACCATGGTAGCTAGCAACATTAGGGAGCCGGCGGTAACTACAGAGGATGGTCCATGGAGCTCAAGAACACAGTACAGTGCCGACTCATAAATGCTGCAAAAGGCCAGCATGTGCGGGTTTGTCGTAAAAGTCGCTATATGTACTACTGCAAATTCACAATACCAGCTTTGTATTCCCGTGGTTTAGCAGCATTTTTTTTCTGGCCAGATTTTTCTTTGTTACTAGTTTGGGATGTCAGAGGATGTCAGAGGATGTCATCCATAAAATTAAGTCAGTGTGGCCTAACGCATAAAAGCTATTTCTGATGTTAATTTGTCACCTTCTGTTCCAGATTGCATGGCCACCTGCATGATACAGTACAGTCTGGGGTCCTCTGCCAGGTCCAGGGACTCCATACACTGTTGGACCAGCTCAGCTGCTGTGGTGCCCTCCAGCACCTGGTACGTACTGCAATAGAAGGTGCCTGAAAACACAGGGGAGACCAACTCATGCTGGATAGCAGTTATAACAGTTTTCCTATAGGATGTAATATTGTACTCAGATATCTACAAGACTATGTTACGTTCTAAGCAGAAATATATTTCAAAGACAAAACTGGGTTTTCAAAGTCAATTTTCTTTTAATGTAGTGAGTTTAATCAATGATTATCCTACCTCAAAGCATAGTCTGATATCTTTGAGGCAAATATGCAATGTCAATGACAGAAAACGGTTGCTTGTTTTGTATCATAGGCTGGTTCTAGCTATTTATGGGCAGTGCCCAAAAAATAAAGAGATGCCTTATGCAGCTGTTTTTGGGGTTATTTCAAACGCTTCAGGTTTAAAATGATGAAGAAAATGTGCTAAGATATGGCAGTAAATATCAATATCGGACAAATTCCCTCATCCAGAATTTTTTTTTTTGTTTTGCTACCCTGAAATTGTATAGGATCAAGTCTTACCAGGCTCCAAGACATCGTTCCAGACTTGTACAGAGTTTCCGTCAGGTCTGCCATCTCTCTTGCTGAACAGAGACTTGGGAGACACCACTTCTTTCAGTCTGGAGAACCTAAGATTAGACACATAGATAGAACAGGCAATGTGAACAGGGAATGTGCCGTAGAAAAACATATAGCTACAGCTTCTTCTTGCAGTCTTGATAGTATGAAAATTGTATACATTACTGTATTTTAAAGTTTATTGACAGAGACCAGCTAACTGATGGTAGTTACCAGTGCTGAATGCTGAAGCACCAGTAGACACAACAATGTTCACAAGTAAACATAACATGTTGTGACTATAAAAACATCTATGTGAAAAACACAGAAAACAAGGGCTTTGAATTCAGGCAGGGTAACAACGTAGAAAAAAATTACACAGGAAAGAGATCTTGAAAAGGCAACAATCATACTCACATAGCCTGCATTCTCCTGTCTTATAATTTTGCTAACATACTACAGAATGTATCGGAAGCCAAATTTAAAATAACTGTTGGTGTGACTTTCCTGATGCATTCCAGCTGAAAACCAACCACCTGTTTCTTGGAACAAACCATTCTCAGAACTTGGGGGGGGGGGAACTTTCAACAGAATATAATACTTTATTGTGCAAACCTCCAGAATATACACAAGTAAATTCAATTTTTTTCATTTCAAAATAAAAATAAGACAGATTGATATTGAATTCATATTTCCTAAACTACACAATAATAGAAAATGACTGCTTTGTCCCTAGATTATACAGCAGAGCCGGTAGCTTGCGGAAGGATGATAATTAAACTGTGACAAATCCATCTTTCACACCTAAGGAGTGACACTTTACATCTGTAGTAAGCAATGATGAAGTAACATAATCCTGTTTTATACATTGGGCATGGTATCTACGAGTGTTGAACAAGAATAATATGCAAATGACCCACCTTGGAACAGAAACTAAACTTAAGGTACTTTCCACGAAACATTATCAACATAATAATAATATATAATATTATTCATCAGAATGTCAGTTGTGAAAGAGAAGCGTATACATACCCCTTCTTCATCTTGTTGGGAGTAGCAGGACTGTTGTTACTGGTGCGTGTGGGGTGAGGGGGGAGTTCTATCCCATACGCATTACTGGACGTTCTCCTCAGGGCCTCCATAGCTGCTGCCAGCTTGTCTCGGTCATACGTGTTGTCAAGGTGGTCTAGTTTTCACAACAAAGAAAATAAAAATTTTTGGTAAAGAATTTACTAATTAGTTTAACAGCATTATAATATGTATTATTAATTAATTATGTAAAAAAAGAATTACGTCATATGTTGAGAATTAAGAGGAAGGTAAGACAAAAAATTACCAATTCCAAGGATTATAATCTGAAGCAAAGACATGGTTTGAATGAGTAGGAATTCCCTCTTATGATAAAATAAGCAATAGCATAACAGCAAATTTGCTGTCATAAAAATGTTACTGCAAAGGCAATATATCGATTGATTGACAAGAGGTAGTCATTTTATGGCTCCTTGTCACAAACTATTACTGGTAATTTTACGGGTCCTTGTCACAAACTATTATGTACTAATGGACAAAGCATTAAGGTTCAATCATTATGATGGTTGAAAGTGCAGACACCATGCATGTACAGCACTTGGGTTAATCTCCATGTAGCATCAACTTTGCTACAAATCAATCAAGCAATCTTCCTACTTCATACTATAGGTTTTTTAGGTTTCAGCGCAGACAAAGAGGAACATTTTGTGACCGTCACAATCACCTATTGCACTTGGGTCGACATCAGCAGCCTCGGGATGGAGCAGGTCATACACGTGGGACAGGATACGCTCACGGTCATCAGGGTCATGGATTGTCATGGAGTCTGGGGGGGGCGTGGAAAATAGGGGATTTAGTTGAGATAAAGTTGTTTGTGATAAAAAGGATGAGTTGAACATATCTAGTAAAACAGCAAAAAGTGAAATCGAATTCTAGATCAAAATCAGAACACTGACTTACCGAGTAGTTGTGGGTCCAGCTGAAGTAGCTGCTGTCCTGTGATGTGTTTAGCTGTAACCAAAAATAATCAAATCAAACAGCCACCCTATCAAATAAATCAACACTTGTCATGATGTTCCCACTTTCTTCTAAGATGTCGAAATCTCTCTCACTGCCTAACCAATATATAACCAAATTTTGTGCTAAGAAGGTTGCTTCTTAGCTTGAACAAGAAGCTCAGGATGTAGATCACATATTCTAAGAGGAATGATGCATGTAAACACACACAACTAGGTGATGACATTCTAATTATTCAGAAGGCTGAGTGAAAAACAGAAAATACACTTCAAGGTTTTACCTCCTGGCTCTTGCATGTCAGGTTCCTGTATCGTAGCTGGTCTTTAGGAAATGAAAATTCCTACTGACAGAGATAGAATTTATGTTTGATGTTTAATTATTTATAAGCGATGCAATAAAAAGCCATTTTTGACTTGATCTTTTATGACATTTTTATGAAACTACAACAAGCACTGCAGGCACGAAGACTTCCATTCCAATTGGAATTTTGAACCGTCTGAAGCGATATTTTACACATTTTGAGAGAAATTTCTACTGAAAACAATGGCAACACACACCGTATGCATCTTTCTTACACAACTTGAACGCAGTCCTTGAAAGTTTGATGGCAATGTTGTATACCTTGTGACAAAAATATATCTCCTAGACACATTTAAAGCGTCCACTTTAAGAAAGGGACTTCAAAGACACCAAAAACACCTGTATGTCCAGAGTGCTGATCTAAACCTTAGTAGAGAAGTAATGTCCAGTCTTACATCATTGTACTACCAAGCAATTTCCTAACTGATAAGAGAACAGCTGGTACAGACGTGCTGGTCTTCCTGAAAGATTTGTCACGACTGGATGACTTTGTGTATTGATTTATTTCTAAGCTAAGTGCACTGTCTGTTTTATGACCATTTCCTGTGTATTATTGATCACGATGACAAATTATATTGACCTATTCCACAAAATTGCTATCAGAATACATCATAATCATTTTGCTGTTTTACAGACATACTGCCAAACTGTCCAAACAAGGTCTGAAGCTCTATGATATTTGGGAAGTGGAAAATATTGGTAGAACAATAAATTTTCACCTTTCTGACAGCCTTGGTTACCTAATTTGAATTGATAATGGCATTGAGTCATACTCATAGGGAGAATGTTAACTGACAAATATCTAATCATATTTTATCCCTATAGTGTAAAGTGGATTCATTCCTCAAGCTAACCGACACCTATCACACTGCAGCCATCCCTCAGTAAGATACCTGGAGCCGCATAGTTCCTGTTTAGAACTTTCAATCAGCCTGTCACAACCAGTTTTGCCCTGTGGGCTTCTTCAAGTGTACAGAGGTTTAAAATGACAAATAAGTTATCACTTTTTATACCTCTCCTTTCCTTTACCTTACATTACCTAACAACAAATTGTTGATACATTTATGTGGAAAAAAAGACACTTGCTCACCCCTGAAGACATGAATGAACTTGTCCAGTTTTGTAGACTGCAGCCATCCGCAGACGTCGGCCTCGCCCCAGTCTACAGGATCCTTCTGTCTCCACATGGTGCTTACCTCAGCATCAACCTAGTCATAACAGTCATTCATAGCAATTAGTTAGTGTGACAAACAGTACCTGAAACAGTTGTTCAAATTACAATCTCCACGACATGTCAGCAGAACGTACTGTGCCCATGCGAAAAACCAGTTTTTGTTGGATATTTGGTCAACGTTGTATCGGAATTTTGCCTGTTGCAGACAATATCTTTTCCGACATAACATTTGGAAACAACACACAGGATGTTAACCTTATATGCGTGTGCGAATACGGCCTTAAATGAGACGTTCTGCTGAAGTGCTTATAATATAATATATGATGCACAATATATTTAAATTTACCGGTTTAGTCCAGGTGCAGTACGTTCTGCCGACGTGCTTGTCACACCAGACTAACACTATACATTCAAAAACAGCAAAATTTAGCCAAATAGAAAGAATAATTAGCCAGGGTTTTTGGCCACCTTAGAGCTCATTTGTCGTTCACTAAAATCACATTAGAAAAATTCTTCCAAGTTATATAATTCCAATGTGTTATACCATCCCTTAAGAGTTAGGAATCTGAGCTTTATCCTATGTTAGTATTACATAAACGCACAGTAATTGATACTTAACCTTTAGCAAACGGAAGTACCGGTAGCTCAAATTCTCCATTAAACTATTTGTTATATAACTTATAGGTTTTAAGGAAGCAGATAGAAGGTTAGACAACTTTAGTCATGTCATCTCTGCATTTATAGTTCAAAGGATGAGCATTTCTACCTATAGTATAAATGTCATTCTTACTGGTAGCTGCAACATTTATGTGGATGATTACATAAATGCACAGTATTGAATAATAATATCATATTATCCCTATTTCTATATTATATGATAGTACAAAGCAAAGGATAAGACAAGTTGAACTGTTCCTCTTGTGGCCAGTTCGTATTCAATTGCATAATGTACCACAAAGACAACAATTTTTGCTGTTAACAGTGACATTTAGGAAGGGTTTGCATAAGTGTGCAGTTACTTGATAGAGCATTAAGTTCTTTTTTCTTGCAAGCACTTGAAAGTGTAAATCACATCACAAACCCAAGGATTTTTATCTGCGTCATGTTTTGTCTGGTGGGGTAACATTAAGAAGTGGACTCTATGCTTTATATCTTTCATAACTTAACCATTTCACTGCTAAGCTTAGCTGTTTGGCACCAAATTTCTATTCATGGGGTTAGGTAGCAGGCAGAAGGTTAACAAAATTTACTGTACAAGAAAATGATACCCATTAAAATAGAGACCATTATTTTTCTTTTGTGTAACACCAATGAAGTTATTCTCCAGTATTACACACATGAGGTTGTACCGTGGCATAACAGCAGAGCATTCGGATCAGAACCAAGAGGTCCCAGGTTCAATTTAAATCCTGCCATGTCACCGACTTTGTGCCCTTGGGAAAGGCACTTTACACAAATTTCCTTCGCTTCACTCAGATGAAAATGAGTATGCCAGAATGATCATTATCATGACCGTGGGCATTAAAGGAAAACCCAAACACAACTTACATGTTTGCCATTTTGCAGTAACTGTTGTGGTTCCACAATGGCAGTGTTGGGTTCACGAGGGGGGTGGGGCAAGCCTAGGGTGGACACGTGGCAGCATGCAACATCGTCATGCATTACAGCAGAACACAACACAACACGACACAACACGTCAACAAATAAACATCAAAATAAAAACCCTGCAATTATTATTAACTGTGAATGATGCTACTGCGATTTTAAGTTCAACTACTTGATGACTGTTTGGCCATATCCTTACCTTATTTTCCGTCATGAGTTTACAATGTCTAGGTGTCAGTTTTATGTATTTCAAAAGACCTGAGTGTAATCATCTGGTAAAATAAATAAATGAAAGTAGCCACATACATTGGGTTGATATATTTAGTTATTAATGACACCTGTCTGAGAGTTATTACCATCAGTTATTTCATATGCTCACAAAATTTTTTGAACATATAACAGAAATGTAAATTAAAAGTGAAAACAAAGACTTGTGGTCAAGCTAATAGCAGTTGAGCACGGTAGCTTCTTGTAATTGCAAGCAATCTACCATATAGAGACTAAAACATACAAATATCGTGAGTACAGTTTGTTTTAGTGGTACCTGATTTCAATGGCGACTGTGGCGGGCTGTCTCTCGGCAGAACATCTGATCCTTCCTCTTCAGAAGCTGAGGTGTCAATTTTGTTGCTCCGAGTCTGCATCTCAGTTTTCTGTTGCTCCTGTGAGAAACAAATAACAATCATTTGTTATGTAACAGTGGGGTTCAATGCACCACAGTTAGTGGCGCTTGTACCCCACTGTTACTGTTATGTGATTATCACATCATGACATGTAATAACGTAATAATATATGATTATAGCCTGATTCATACAAATTGGTACTAATTTGTCACCCCCAAAAACTGCAAGACATACAATTTCATGTAAACATGCTAGTTGATGAGCAGACTGTTTTTTCCGTAGAAAGTGCTTACTACAAAATGTAGTACAAATGCTGGCCTATACAGACGGGTCTGGTATACAAGCAGTGATTGGTCTTTGAAATCAGATGCTGTCAAGTGCGTACGCATTGTAGCCCTCTCGATCTCACATACGCAGGCGGAGACTTAAGTGAGATAGGAAAATCACACCATTAAAACCTTGGTAAGGAGGATAAGTAATGGATAAATGGAAGTATTGCATAACACCCTGGAATAAAAGACAAGGGTTAAAAGAGGTGAGTCTGTACCATACAAAACACCGGCGATACTTTAGGAAATAGATTCATTTCCAAACAATCATGGTGTCCCTTACGACAAAAACAAGGGACATCTGTCAGTGAGCTTTTCCACCATTAAATTCAACACTGTACAATACTTGGAGTATGAATGTGGTCTTACGAGCATCTGAAAATTACATTTTTTTTCTATTAAGTGCCTTGGCACCAAGGAAATTCTTTTAAATTTTAGCTCAACCTTTACAGTGTTTCAAGTGGACATTTTGGGTAAATGAAAGAAGACTGTTTCAAACTTTGGCAAAATATGTGACATGCCCTAAGATTTTAAATTCTGTAAACCCCAAGTACAGCCTCCAAGCAGGTACCACAAAAGCTGCACCATTTCGCCCCATTGAAAAATAATCCACTTTCTCAGGGAGATTTGCGCAAACATCACATGAAAGCTGCACTCTAAGCCTGCACGGCTCTGTTTACACATGGTCTTTACTTAGCCGTAAGCAACAATAATACAGACCTCTGCAGTTCAGGGCAGAATTAGTGTATCTATTACACAGCGTGAGCTAAGGTTGCCATCCAGTCTTTTTTATTATGACCTTGCAACACATGCAGCTTTTATGTTCACATACATTTTTTATACCACGTGGAAGAATGATAATTCATTAACTACAATTGTAAGGATACACAATGTTTTGGTAGTAATGTTGACATCAAGAGGTTAACTGGAGTTATAAAAAAAAAATTAATGATTTTTTTCCTTGCCAACATAAATTTGTTGCTCTTTTCAAGACAGTGTGATACATCCAAATCATCCTTACCATATTTCAACCAACCAACCAAACCAATAGTATATTGGCTGAAATGGTAAATGACTTTAAGTATCATTTATTAAGCAATTGCTAGTGGACCATTGAGGTCAAAGGACAAAACACTACCTGTGGCCTATCTGGCCTGTTCCTCTCAGCTTCTAGAAGTCGTAGAAAATGTTGTCTCTGCCCACCATCTTCAATCTCAAGGTCAACTGTAGGTGAAGAATGCAATTATAAGTATTAGAGACATTTAAGTTGGTATGTGTGGCTAAGAAAAAGATTTGAATATATTTCAAGTTTCGTAAAATTCTTGTGATTCAAAATCAACATAATCAGACAAGTATACTCCATTGCAACCAAGGTTCATTACGCTCAGAAAGCTAAAACTTTAAAGTAAAAACAACTCGAATGTCAAATGTAAGTAAATTCTATATCATTTGTTATAATGAATGACTTTTACCTGGTCGTGTACTTCTGTACCATCTTTGTTTACCTACATTGTACTGCTGTGAAAATCACCTGGATCAACTTGTCTAACGTGCTAAAAGTAACCTGGCACCGGGGGTTTCTGAGAGAATGTTTATCAGATAAATTATAATAAGCAGAGATTGACTCTAATCCTGAGTAATTATCCTTCCAATTATCACTTTTGAACAGGTTGTGACCTAACCATGCGTACTGGTACTCGGTATGATTGAAAGCATGTTGTCCTAAGTATGGATTTGTTGTTTCGACTTTACCAGTATTGTTCTCTCTGTGTACCATCCATGCTTCAAGTTCAATTCCTTCACGAAGCCCTTTTTTAGTTAAATCCTTTGTATGCATTTCTGTCTAAGGGAAAATTGCATCTACCCAATTACTTTGGGAACCTGTTGAATGGGAAATAAAGGGATTAAGCCTCTAGCTGCTGACCCAGACCTAGGCCTGCAACACAACTGTTGTACCAAAAGGAAGTTAGTACATGTACCTCTAAGGTTAAAGCTAAGACTTACAATGTAGTCATATTTGTCATAGGCAGGGTACGTTGTGTGATTGTTGTATGATTGCAAACTGAGATCATTTGACACACTGAATGTGTCTGATTTAGTGAATGTAGAATCTTTGGGCAGGCTGTGACAGAACCAACTACGGACAAGGATCTAGGACAGCTAAACAACAAGACAGCTAAAATTTGCAGATGCAGGACTGCCCTAAGAATGGTCTCAGTTTGCGATCATACAACAATCCCACAAGAACTCTAACCAAGATCCTGTTCAGTGATCTGGATCAGATATTCGCCCTCTATGCAGCCCTCGAAGATTTCCACAAAGTCCTGCTGGTCAGTAGCCTGCAGCCATTCCACGATGTCCTCGTTTGTCCAGTCTTCTACTGACTTCTGCTGCCAACCAGACATCATGGCTGCTTCTGACGATTCCTGCACAAAATCACATAAAACTAGAGATTTTATCTGTTAACAAGAGTACCATACACAATTTGTATGGCAATATGGCAATAGTACAATGAATGAAATTGTCTGCTACTAAGTTGAATATCAAATAGTAGGTATCATTTTAAGTTGACCCTATGGTAGATTGTTAGAAATGTCTTCAAAGTTTGCAGTTCCAAAATCTGAAAGTAACATGTTCAGGCCTTTTAAGTTTCAACTTTTGATGGCTGCTAAAAAGTGAAACTATGAAGATAAACCTAAGAGTAAGACAGCAACAAATGCTGGGGAGCCAAGGACACAAATCAGGGAGACAAGGACACAAAAGTTTACAAACAACAAAAATAATAACAGTATGACCAACAGATTTTTCACAATACTGGGCTACAGTTTAAGAATGCACAGATAGATCATTTACTTAAAACTCACCATGACACAACATACCAAAATGCCAGAAGGAATCTACATGCAGGTACAAAGAGAAGACCTTAGGGCAATACCATCCCTCATGCATAGGCCAGTCTTTTAATGATAGACTGTGTGAGTGCAACAGGTCCTAGCCTACTATTAACCCAGGGATAATTAACCTGTGCAGTGAATTGTGTGATTTCAATTGCCATTACAAACAATGGCCAGCTATAACTAGAGTGTAATTATTTGTCCTCTCAGGGAATGCTCTCTGGGCAGGTTGTAAAACAAGTCACTAACTTTTTTATTGGTATACAACAAAACATGTAGCATATGGCCAGTTTCAAATATCACTCAACTGCATTGACTTCTTGAAGGACAACAATAAAATCTTAATCCTGTCCTGTGCATATTAAAACAAGTAAAATTGCATTTGTCATATTTGTAGCCATTGGTTGCTGTTTGAGAATGTTTTTACAATGTTACCCAAATATTTTGATCTCCGGGAGTATGAGTGCTGCTCTGAGGATTCCACAACACAATAACACAATCCACACCAACAGATCAATGGCTGGAGGTATTATGTGAGTTTGTAACTGATCAATATCTGTGAAATGTACTGTGGTAATAGTCTAAAGGTGAGCAACCCTTACTCTAGACCACAAGGTTCAGATTTAAATCCAGACTAAATACTTTCAATGGTGTTTCTGAAACTGCTTTCCTCAATAAAAGTATGCATTGCAGGCCGTAAAGATAGCTGTGAGGCCATCAGTCCCATTGGAAAGGTAGATATTGATCATGTAAAAAAACCTACCACACAAGAACTTAGGTCTATGCATATATTAAAGTGGCCCAAAACTTCAATTCCGAGCTTACAGACACGATAGACCTTTTAGAAGTTTGTAGTTAAGCATTATCTCAGTTAGAGGCAACCTTCAAGGCCAAACTAAAATATTTCAATTGATCAGTCAGTTAACTTTGGACTCCATACAAAATACTTACCTCATGCTCTATGTGAATTTTGGGGGCACTTGTGTCATGGTTTGCTCCTGCATTATCTTTGCTGGAAGACGTTGAATCATTGGAAGATCTTGCACTGTTAGTTTCCTTCTGAGAATTTACAAGTCTTGGTATCATACTTTTGTTAGATACTGGAGAACTTTGTGTTGGTGAGGCTTGTTGTCCTGGGGAATTATTATCTGCTGCCTGCGTGCCTGGCTCTGGTAGGGAAATAGGCTGGAATTTTTTCCTGTTATAGGACGACCCACTGGCTGTGGTTATGGGTCCCTGTGAGGAGCCTTTTGTAGCTTGTCCCGGTTTGATCAAACTCAGGTCCTTTCTGGGAGAGAGAGTTGGAAGCGAGTACGCTGTGAGAAGCGAGGATGGCTTTTGTCCTGTCATGGCTTGTTGCGACGGTAGAACAAACATGGAATTCGGAGACTGTCTCTGTTTGGTGAGAACGCTCGGGGATACGGCGGGGCTTAACCGCGAGCTGGCGTCATCACCCCCCTCCACTGATTGGTATGGTCCATCAGTGGCATCCGTATGGCTTGTAGATTGGTCCGTTCCACTTTTGTCAAGGGAGGACCTATCAGTGTCATCAGGAAGGGGGGAGGTTGGTACAGGGGGAGGAGGTATGTCGGGGGGAGGGGGAAGATCATCTAAATCTGAGTTATACGCATCACTCCCTGACACTGAGTCTTTTCTTCCTGCAGTTCTTGGGCTCTCTCGTCTTGGAGGAGGCGGCGGGGCCTTCTTCTTCTTGAGAATAGATTTCGGGCTCTCCTTAGCAATGACTGGTGTACTTGTAGGAGTTCTGCCTGACTGAGAATTCCCCCCGAACTTACTCGGGGGTGGGGGCTTGCTGACGGGGCTGTTTGCCCCCCTAGGTGGGGGTGGGGCGGCATGCCGCTTGGGACTGGGGGCTCGTTTCTTGTTAAACCCTGGCCACTTGGACATGACTGTGTGTTGGACGACTCATTGTGGAAAACAAAAACTAGGAAGACTTGAGTTCTGGAAGCCTTGATGTGAGGATGGGCTCTTCAGACTATCATCATCACTTGCACCTATGGAAAAAAATGATGTGTCTGCTTATTGATTGATAATCATACATTCTCTTGACCATTCAAAGTTATAACGTTACTAAGGGGGCCTGCATGGGAGGGTCAATGCTCTATGCTAAATGCTAAATTATGCTGGCTACGAATTATGCTGAATTCAGAAAACCTCTCAATTACGCTTTATGATAAACTTCAAGTGGCTACAACGCATTACGTAGAATTAACATGGCAAGTATGCTCTATGCAAAATGCGGCAGTTACGCTCTACGTCGTATTTAATAGAGCGGTCCGTCTATGCTCTACGTAGAATTAAAATGGCCGATTACGTTCTACAGAAAAGGGCATGTGGGCCCCCTTACTAATAAAAGAATAAAATTCCAACATTGATGTTAAAAGAAATCCGACAGGAAGAAAATTTGCCTGTAGTTCCGGTGGTTACAAAGAAGACATTGAGAGAGAAACAGTAGCATTACCCGTTGGTGGTCCTAAACAAACCGGCTTATTTTAGTTGCAAAACACGTTTACATTTCTCTTTTATGTCCACAAATTCCTGATAACAATGAAAAGTCTTAGTTGCCATTAACTGCATCCGCAAAAGGTTTCACATTCCAAAAACAACGTCCAACACTCAAGTTAGACCTACAAGTGACTTGGGTAACCCTTGTACAAAATCTTTAGTTAACGTCCTATAAAGAGCATTCCTACGTCTTATCCCAGCTCCACCCATATTTACAAACACCTTGAAATGACGGGGACAACTTGCAAGACTTTGGTCTAGTACCGTTATATGCAAATAAGCCAAAACTTTTTTCCCAAAAGTTGGATTCGTTTTACCTCGGCCACCTGTTAAAGAGTTTCGTCATTTTCGGACTGAAACGCCGGCTCGAACGCTTTCAAGAAGTTCTGAGTGGTCTACCTACCTCTTCTGGTTGTTTGTCGCGTCTGCGGATGTCTTTTAGACGGTAGAATGGGCGACATTCCTGTACATACCGCCCGACAGCAGGTGACTTACCTGGCCTGATGTGTTGACTGTATTTACACATCACATCCGGGTCACCGGGTCAGTGGGATGTTCCATCTTTCAAAGGGGCGGCCACCTTCTTTCTCTCTCTTTTTTACCAAATATATGATCGAAGTTGCTTTGATATAAGATATAGATATATCAGTATAGATACCACTTGAAAGTTAACTAAAAATCCTCGTCATGGCAAACTTTTTTTAATTGCCAACCTTGTTTTGTTTTTCAGAAGAGCATTTAAACCTTTTTGTGCTTAATTCGACAAGACGTCATTCTACTCAGATGACGCAAGGAAGATAGACAGGAAAAACTTCAAGTTTAATAAAATTTTACTCGTGTATATATAGATATGTATATATAAAACGTTATCAGTTATGGCATGGTCATGTTTGAGTTAGGGTGCAGTACCGCCATTGTCTGCATGGTGGGGTTGCTATTTGTGACTAGACACACATGTAACGAGTCAAATACCCATAACAGTTACACACATCATGCAGACATACACATAACATTACACGCACACACAAACGTAAAACATGCACTAAACACATACACGTGCACAAGCACTCACGTGCAAACATGAAGTTCAACACAAGCTTCATACGCACGCACGCACACATATTTATACCCACCTATACATGTATTAAGAATGAATTGTGAAAGATTTGAACTTCTTGGAAGTTTATTAGTCAATAAATCAATCAATCAATCAGAAACACAACATTTTGTTGATTTGCAGATTGTACATTATTAGTAAAACATTTTCAAAGCACATAACGTTAACGTTACATGTAGGCTTCGCATTAAAACATAAAGAAAGTGTAACGTTACATACCATGTTCAGTAATGCTATGTCATACCGAGTTATGAAGTTTTTTTTAACTAATTTCCATTTCCAGTGACATTAAAAAAACATAAATGACATGCTTTTTTTTACTCGGGTATCGACGCCAAAAGTAGAGTTCAGTTTTACGACTGTTGTACATTAACGTCTTCTTCCCTAGATATGACCTTCTGTTCGAAGTATAGTAAGCTTCGTTTCATTTCTCTTTCTTTTATTTTGCTACAACATTCTGAAGACCACGGGAGAAACAACGCCTTCTCACGCCAGTCTCGCGTTCTTGAAGTTAGTCCTGCGTTCACGACACGTTGCTAAATGTTAGCCCATTTTCTTGCTCAAAGTTCGTGAAGTTTTCTCAGGCGCAAAGCACTGTGGGACAACACCTGTCGTCCTCCCAGGTCCGCACACAGAGCGGGTCACTCAGCATGGCCCAGCTGGGGTCCCAGCACCTGGGAACGAGACGAGATGGTCATATATTTCATTATCTCCTGATTGAAGAATAGTCTATAATTGAAGTCACCATACATAAGACATGTCAGATTTATAATTGAAGTGTCAGCAAACACAAATATCATGACTCATGACAAAATTAAGTTAGAGACAACTGCAATTCCTAAGGAAGTCGCCTGGGGACGAGAAAAAACTTTTTACACCAAGATACAGTGGCCAGGACCCACCCAAAAAATCATGAGAATCCATTCGTTGCGGCTTCGGTTTATTTCTTCCCAAACAAGCACCGTACCACGAAATATACGCGAGGTCAAAATCAGTGACACCTTTGGGCTGCCTCTGCCCCACATGCGTGACATGTACAAGATGCGCCAAAATATTCGCCAACAATCCGACTGACGACCGAGTGAAACTTGATAATTTCACGCGGCGGTTCTCCGCAAAGTGTGGAGCTTGTTTGTCTGTCTTGTGAGAACATCACCCCACGGACGACCTTCCTCCGTCTGGCGAACATACTGAACAAACACCGCCCAACTCCTGGCGATAGCCTCGTATCCAGTCTTATCGTGGTTGGGGCGGGTTTTCCTCGGGGTTGCGGGACGTCTTTCCCGGCTTCCTTAGCTAGGTTTCCCGTAGGTATTTTACAATGGGAGATTGATTAGCCCCACCACGATATTAAACTTTAAGACTGGTGGGGCAAATCAACTGCCATCTCTATTAGCGTAACACTCCTAGCCTCTATCAGGCTTCGGGAGCGGCTGAAAAGAGTAGAAATCGGCCAAATCGAGAGAAGAGCATGCCAAGGGAGTTGGTCTAGTGGAGAGAACAGTTTGCCGCTCCCGAGAGCCTGGTAGAGGCTTTAACAATCCTACCGGACGGCCTGTTGTACTAGGCGAGGGAAGACACAGCCTGCCCTAACTACTATGCCCCAACCACGATAAGACTGGATACCAGGCTACCTGACGGACTTGGAGCGCTGACAACCCCCAGGCTTGATCTGCCGACACTGAAGCCAAATCACTGCAGGGGAATTATGGCTAACTCTTTCCATGTGCAGTTTTCATGTAGCTTGTTCTGAGACAACATAGAATGCGGCTTAGGAAGCAGTGTTAGATGAATAGTTTGGACGTAAAGCGTTTTAGAATTAGGTTGACGTGAAGGTGATTGTGAAAGCTCATGGGCTTTGAACCAACAAGAACTGTGCACTTTTCTTATAGTTATAGTGTTTGCGGCTACTTCCAGCTCCAGATCAACAGTTTATGAACAACTAAGGACTGACTTCATGAAAATAGGTGATTCGATGATGCTTCGAACAAACATTGACATTTGGATACACGAATTGATAAACCTTTTCTTGATTTCTAGTAAATGTACTATAACTACATTTACTACATATGGAGAGGACATGATAAAAAGGTTAATTGTTTTACTTACTTTTGTACTACAAAAATCAGAACAATTTTTTTCTACCTATGCCATGATGCCCGCGCATTGAGAACCGTAACTGTAACGACTCAAGGCCACGTTCACACGGTGTAAACTTGAACGGCGGGACTAACACATAACACGCGGGGGTGTATGGGTGTATATATAACGCTTGATTGACAACTTAAATGGTGGGAATCTCGCCGAAGGCAGGAATTTCCTGGCCCGCGTCTCCCCCTACTCTCCCCCGACGGTTCTGAGAGGTCGTCTCGCTTGGAGCATTAACGTTATTATGGACATGATAGATGGCAGTCTACACGGTATAGTGGCGGGAAGCCAGAGTCAACAACAGTCTAAACGTCTGAAATACATCTCGGGTGCGAACGATATATTGTGAGGAAAAAAAGGAGCCTACAAATTACACAGGGGCAGAAACTAAAAGGACCTACCGCAGGCACCACTGACTTCTACAAGTAACTACTTAACTAGTAAATTAGTCAAATTTATAATCGAATCCCTAACTCAAACGTTTAGCAATTTTTAATTGATGCCAGACAGTCCTTGTTACATATGTAGTATTGTTTTGTATATTACCTTCGATTGCAATAGTTATTCTATAATTTTTAATGTTAAATAAGCGAATTCTAACATTGCATGCTTAATGATGACAACTGTTAATGTGTAATCATTTTATAGACTGATACCTCTGTAAATAGGCTCGCAATTCAGCCCTCCACGGCTGCCAGGAGCCATGTATATCCTTTGCTTAGAACTATCAAACCAGTCTACTACTACTACTAACGCAAATATCGCACACCGCCCGACAGAAAAACAACACCCCTTTATCAAGTTTTGAAAGATATGGCATCGCCCTAGGCTCTTGAGCCGAGGTGGGAGGCTGTTGTCCTTAAACCGAGGTTGTCTCTGACGTTTGTCGTTATCTGACATGGATTTATGTATCGGATAAAGTGGACTGAAAGATATCGGCTTGGCGTAGTTTGATGGAATCACATATAACTTTATTTCAAATCGGAAATAAAAACAAATTAGCTAGATCTAGATAGAGGGCCTAATTATACCTACTTTATGCCTTGGAAGTGTATATTTCCTTTTGGATCCTCGTAGCACTCATCTGAAAAAAGAACAACACTACATTAGACTGGATACTAGTAATGCGGAAATGATCGTGAGGTACAAAACTCATCAATTCCAGTGGTATAGTAATCTTCAAGTAAATATTTCGGTGACTGCAAGAATTGGCCAGGCAGTATCCACTTGCCGCTCGAAGACTGGGCTCATGGGCTGGCGTAACAAAAAGATACCAGTGCAAAAAAGAAAGCCCTATAAAAACGCCTAAAACACGCTAAAAGTTAGTAGGCCTCTGCTTGCGGTGAGTAGAACTAACGCACGGAAGAAGTGTTTCATGTACAGGGCTGTTAGTGTGTGGAATAACCTTCCAATTGTTATGCAATCCACACAATCCCAGAGAGTCTTTAAGGAGGGTTTGACACGAGCACTGTTCGACAGGATTGTCAGTTTTTTTAAATTATGTATAATGTAAATATGTTATTGTTTTAGATATGTTTGTGACTTGACCAGTTGTCCACTATGTTTGTATAATGTATCGTCTGTATGTACATGTATGAATACCAGGAAGACTAGCGGTGGACCCTAGGGTCCACCGCTAATGGTTATTCTAATAAAGTTTCAAAGTTTCAAAGTAGTGATATAGCACTTTACAACTGAGTGCATCTCCATGAATTATGATGAACCCACCTTCGTTCACTGTAGGCGCGTACTGGATCTCTCTCATCTTTTCCACCTCTGCAGAGATGCCGGTCCCTTTCTTGTCCTCAGATTTGGCGGGAACAGGTGCGGAGAATGATGACGTCACGACCACCAGGAGGAGGGCGAGAACTAGCCCGAAGGACGCCATCTTTGTCTCTGAAAGATTCTTGGCTTCTTCGTCTTGTGTGTGTGTTGTCAAGCCGTCGGTTCTGCCCTCAGCAATAAAAAAGACATGGAAAACAACTTAGGTCGACACATACACAATGTACAATTCTGACATTTTGAGAAATGAAATTTAAAGGCATCCAAAGTGATCTCAAGGTGGCAACACAAAAGGTATTCTGGATGAGGAAATCTGTCTGATATTGCCCTTTACTGCTATTTCGTAGCACATTTTCGTATTTCAGTATTGCATTTTTGCCTCACAGATATCAGTGTGCTATGCGGGATTCAACTTTACATTAAAAGAATGGCCAGAAAATTGAATTAGAAAATCGACTTTTGCCGCCCCGAAATTGCACTGGATTACGCTGGCATCTGTTGCATCCCAGAAAATAAAACACGCGCCAATCCTTCGCACCTGCATATTCCGTGCCAATGATAGAGAGACAAGGGTCACAAGTTGACCCACATTGAGACCTCTTTCCCTATATTAGCTGTCAACTGTGCGTGATCTTCAAAGTAGTGCACGACCAGTCATAACATTCGGGGTCTATTAAAAGCCGATTTGTTTCAGTTCCTTGTCAAGTAGAGATGGAACACACTGGCCGTAAAAGACGTAGTCACCCACGTTTTGCTCTGTATCACCGCATATATCAAAAAGACAGTTTCTTTACCTAAGTATTCTGTGTAATCTTGTAAAAAAAAAAGAAAAGCAAAATAGAGTTAAAAGAACTGGATGTAGAAATCGACCACAGCTACTAAAAGCTTTCCTGACCATGGTGTGCCTTCGTTACGCGTCGGTAGGAAAAGGCCCCGGACTGGCCAAGGAAAACAAGCACCGTAAAAAACGAATCCTTTCACTGCTGCCATGTTTATTTGTTTTTCTTCTTCCACACATGTGTAGAGGATGTAGATCTAAACCTGGAACACCTCGTATGGGCTGGGAGAACATTTTGTTGTCTGCATGTGCATGCTTGCAGGACGCGCTACTGTGAATACACTGTACCCCATCCTTTACACACACCTTACTTTAAAACACGTGTAAAGATTCCGTTTTTTCACCTGTGTGTACCTTTACGCAAATTTATGTTACGCTTAAAGATAGGATTTCGTGCATGCAGTCATAGAACCATTGGATAAACGAGTAGCTAAAGGAAAATACTGCTGTTAAATATTGCTCTTGACTGTGATTTTTTAGGTCTCAGCTTTATCATCGTGCCGAATAATTGGGTTGTCTCTAAACCCCTCAGAGGTCTACTGTTATATTTGTGATAAATGTCGGGGTCTGAGGATTACCTTACAACCGAACCGTGAGAAAATAGATAACAGTAAGAGGCTTGGAGAAAGACGAACACTTGACTCAAGGATAACCGGTCAGCTGAACCGATGTCCCGAAAAACTTGAACGTACGTTGTACGTTGTGACCACAAAATGCCGTATATAATTTGCAAAGGTCAGGTGTGTGCAGTCGACCTATTTCTCTCAGTCAAAACATCGGCCTTTCAACAGTACCTATGTCTTAAATCTTTCTTGCTGTCGTCAAGTCACGTAAGTGCGGTTCAGTGAAAGTAGAAGACAAGGCGCGGAGCAGTGGGGCTGATAGTAGGGCGATATTGGACACTCCTTCGGTGACGTACAAAAACATGTAGTGTTTGTTGATTTTTTGAGATCTGTGTTGGTGACCCAGATGTTCTGTGCTACCTTGAACAGAAAGGGCTAAGAGGAAGCACTTCAGCAACCGAGTAGAAAAAATACGTGACAATTTCATGGTAGAAGCTGAATTTTTCATACCAAGGTGGTAAAAAGAACATAGTTTCATAACCAAAATAACACATGATTCGAAACATACATAGGAGCAGAAATGCGCACGCGTAAAACGTTGTTGTTACAATCTTGTAGTTTCTGTTTGGTCGCTGCAGGTATTTATTGTACGCAGACCATTGTAGGTGTAACGGCAGCATTTGTATGCCTGGGTAGCGTTGCCAGGGTGGTAGGAATGCCACATCCGGCACTTTGGAACGTCAAGTACAATGACTCCTTAAATAGACGATATAAATGTTGTTTGATTTAGTTTTAAGCGCGTAGACAGGATAAACTCAAACTCAACAAACGACGGACCCTTGGAAAGATTACGTTCCTCCAAATTCTTTCTAAAAACTGGGCTGTCAAACTTAGACATTGTACCAAAAGAGAAACACTTTTGGCATAAAACTGGCCACACCGTTCTACTATTCAAGACTCGGGGTCTGGACAATATAAAGACGCTCTGTGGTAATAGACCATGGCTAGCTTTAATACAGAGACGGTTTCAAGTGCTGAACCTCTCAGTAGATTAATCTCCAAGCAGATCCCTTTCGTTGGTAAAAAGACAGTATCAAATTGGCCAGGCAGTATCCATTAGCCAGAGAAGGTCGGCAGCCACCGACGGTGGTGGGAGTAGCGACAAGAAAAAAAACGGCCATATATAAAAAGGTAAGGATCATTCCCCCACAACCTCTACTTGGAAAGTACCAGTAGAAGGCGTCATGATCAAGACAATAAGTACAAAATTAGCCTAACTTTAAGAAGATCACACCAACCGAAGTACTAGGGCTCTCACCTGTGTCTCTCCGTGCCACGCACACTTGGCCCTGGTCTGTGGTCTGCGGGTTCTCTGTCGGTCCGGCGCACCTGTGTTTACCTTAGGCGCGGGCACACCTGTCTTACTTCAAACTCACGACCACCGGAATGTCTTCAATCTGGAGTAAAAACAGTAGACGTCGTGGTTAAAGATAGCGCCAACACCAGCCACACTCAAGAACAAACGTACCATTGTATATACCATTGGCAAAGTCTTGTCATTTCGTGGGAGGATAACGCTACACTTACAAGCCGTTCGAGGCCACACGGCTAGAATATCCTACAAGGAAATACATGACATTGAAGACCCCATACCAGCGGTCTCCAGGCGGCCTATTACTGATCCGTGCTAGCGCCGGTACCTCACGTAGATCAAAACAAACACAAGCAGACCAAAGAAACACAGGGCGAGGTTGGCTAGGTATGTGAAATTGTAGTTGTTAGTGACGCCTATGTTTAACTGTGTTGTATATTTTTCCTTTGCCCTATATAGAGCACCCCTAACAAATGTAATGTCCTACCGTTATTCGTGTAGTCAATTTACATTTACCCAAAGAATAGGGGTACTGCTAATTAAGATTGACACATGTTGGGTTTGAAGTACGACAGCCGACGGCGCGCGCCCTTTGTCGTGCGACGAGTGACGGACATGAGAGATGACCCACTTCTTCAGGGCCGGTCTCAAAGGTTCTTACCGCGTTCTCTAAACGTGATTCTTTCATCAGGTACGCAGCAGTGTTGAACTAGGGGTTCAGAACGATTCAGACGGACATAATCTTTACCGAGATTCAAAACCAGGACCTTCTGATCCAGAAGCGGGATTGTTAACCACTAGTCACACGTGTAATTTGAGAGAGGTCTATTGAACATCTTGACATTTGAAGTGATCAAAAGCCTTGAACTGAATACTTTCGTGATGAGAAAGGTTACGAGTGACGCAGTCCGATGGCACACTGCCGCACCGATTGTTCTGGACAGGTTTCTTGTAGGTCAAATCTAGCGCGACATTCGTCACGCTACATTCGGCACATATCTGATCCACCCCTCCGTATCCAGTGGTCAATCCATATTCCGAATTTAAAAAATCATTTTCAAGAAACAGGGTAGATCTACTTTCGAGGAAATTGGTGGTACTGCTGTTTTGAGAAAACCTAGAGAAAATGGGAATAATTACGCCTTCCCATATTTTTAAAGCCTGAAGACTAAATACTTCTAGACTGTAACCGGGAGCTAGATAGAACTGGCAAACCCTGTCTAAAGACACAAAAAATACTTTCGTGATACATATATAATGATAGTATTGTTCCGCACATCTTGTGGTTGAAAATTTATGGCACTGACAAAATTATTCCTTGAGTACGTAGATATCGTCTTGCATGTTGGCGCGACGGCGATTAGACCAAGGACACATGCCCCTCTACAATTCCCGGCGGAACAAGCCCGAGTCGCGCCCGCCCACAAGGACGGGAGTGGTGAACGTGCCGTCTGCCAGAGATGTCAATCAAACCAAGGGCCTTCCGCGAAATACGGACTGATTCTCACGATGGACCAGGAAGTGCCAACCGAGGGAGTTGCAAGTTGAAGGTGATGACTTGAAGAGCGAATCTATTCTTGGATATGGCCTAGAGTATGGAAAATTCCAGCGCACACATACAACTCATATCCCGTGTATTACTCTTCAAGCAGAGGTTTGGGCGAAAATAAAATCCAGTGCAAAAAAGAAACCCCGATAAAAAAGCCTAAAACACGCAAAAAACAACCCAAGACCCAAACCTGGCGCTGCTTGGGGAGTATGTGTAACTATGGTGTGGTAGCACAAACACAGAGCGCAACATAATCTGTACAGTGCTATAGCTATATATATGTGTCGAGTATGAAACATATTCTATCTATCCACACTAAAAGAAAGAATCTTTTCCACGATTCTAGATCTACAAAACGACGAACTGCTGTCTCAAGGGAGACTTTTAAAGATTAGTTTAAACAGTAAAGAGGCGACCTTCCCGCAACCCCACTGTACTTTTGCCAAAACCGCTTACGTGACTCTGTTGTGTCTCCAAAACGTTGCCGTCTCCATAACTATAAACAAGGCATAAAAAAGGCCTCTCCAGCCATCTTTCCCATGCCAACACTGACGCGCCTGTAGCTCACATTGCCAACACAACTACGATCTTTAGACTTCTGAAAGTTAGACATGCAACAAGACAAAGTACGTAGTCGATGGTCGCTATACATACATACCCTTTCTGAACAAGGAAAGCGAACGTCTTGCCAAGTCAGTCGGGACAGAAGAATATCCTCCCTTTACGACGCACTGGTACCACTGGTACTGGTACCATTTAGTACTTCTGTGTCTTCTGCTACTCAAACGCGTCGCTGAGTCCTTTTTTAAAGAAAGCTCCCGAGGTCTTCTTCTAATGTGGCATAACAGAATGCTTCTGTCAGGACCTCGCGGTTTTCCACAAGACCGGCACGCACCCGGTGCCAGCCTCTCTAACGGAGGCACGAAACGCTGACCGCTCGCTGCGCCTGTGTCCCCGCGGCCCGGCCCTCTGTTCTGTCCCGCGGCAAGTTTTGGCAACAACCAGCTACAAATGCAATGTACGACACAGGTGAAGGCGGCGGGAGAATGCGCAGACGGTAATGTTACGGTTGTCATGGCGACGACTACCCCCCATGTTGTCCCATGACGCAGTTTTGCCCATTGGGAGACTTGTGAAGATCTGACCTCTACAGCACTTGTTACTCCTCTGACATTTACAACGACGCAGGTAGAGGATATACCAATTAACGACCGGCCTAAAATGGACATCCTGCAGAAATAGGGGATCGTCTCACGAGAGCAATGTCTTCCTCCGAATGATAATCATTCGCTTTTCAAGCGCTATGTCCTAGTTGGCCTGGGACTTGCTACACAAGGAAAACAAAAAATTAAACGTCGACGTCATTGGTTCAAAAACAAAATATTTAAGTCACTTTTCAAGTCACAGAAAAGAAATCAAACCCAAGAATAACATATCAAAAGTAGCATTGGTAACATCGTTTATGTTGTCAAGTTGGATGGTTCACCTCTTGTTATTTTCTTTTCTTCAATAAAAAACATCGTTTATTATCATTTTACTAGCTCTTTATTATTTTCTTAATGCTCTTAATTTTTCAATTAGCCCTCGGGCATGGATTTGCAATAAACTTTCAATTTGATAAGTATGATAAAGTTATGAATAGATTGCTTCTGATGCCATCTCATGTAGGTAGAACCCCCCGCACCCTTCCCGTGATGCCCCGCGGTGTGAGTACTTGGCACGGTGTCTGTCATGACATCACAGGTCTCAATGTCACGGGCAGGACATTGTCAGTCACGGAGTACAAAAATAACTCAGAGAAACCGTAAACCACTCAGACGACGTGCCGACAAATCTGTATGTAAGGAAGAAAGGCGAGTCTGTGCTTCAGATTAGTCACAGATGGCTCTGATCTACATTTTCTGGGAACCCTGAACTTGATTTTCACTTGTCTTTGATATCGACCGGGGACATCGTAAGAAAGTAGGAACAGAAGTGAGATAATAATTCGAATTTCCTGGGCAATTCACATACCCTTTTCTAAGGTCTTAATATATCATTCGTTTTCCACTGTCTCGAAAAAAGAAGTCGAACCAAATAATTTAGTCTTCAGAATCAAAATCTACACAATAGTAGATGCTATATTGGTATCCATTGTTCGTCTTTTTCTATTTTTATGTTTATATAAATTGTACATGCAATCAGCCTCCAGGCAAGAACTTGCAATGAACTTTCTATCTATATTTCGTGAAAGATTTTCGTTCTAAAAATAACGTTACGTCTATCTATACGTCTCAGACTGACTTGGCAAATTTCTGATTTTCTGCTAGTTGGATACCCGCAGCTTAGCCTCATTCAAGATGCGGCGGCGTTAATTTTTTTCGGGGAGCGACGCGAGTTATGCCGCGGATGGAAGGTTTTGCTGCACGGCAACCGTCTCTCCCCGGCAAAGTCCCTCGGCAGCAAAACCTTCTCTCCGCGGCATAACTCGCGTCGCTCCCCGAAAAAAAAATTAAGGCCGCCGCATAAGAAGTCTGCGAAGGAGGCTACCCTCCGCTTTTGTTGGAAAGTCTCCCTTCCCAGACGGACCTCCGACTGTGGACTGCCCAGGTGACGTGGTTGGTCGGAACGTTTGGTTACCCTGGCAACGGGCGCCATATTTTAGACGACCTGTCAACTTGACCTTTGATTAGAAAGAACACTTCCCGCTCGTAAACATGTCAGGGTGAGAGAAGTGGGTCAAGAGGAGACATAAATATTTGTCGGGGAGCAGGAAAAGTGGGTCAGCAATGAAGAACGAACGACAGGAAAAGGTGGACAGCAGTGGGTCAATGTCTAAAATTGTAGCATCTCCTGTCCTTGTAAAAAGTTGTAATATCAAGCAGGTATCACGTGGCTATATTGATAATAGTTTGGTCAGCATATGGTTTACAGCATTTTACAGCTGCCCATACAAAGATGGGTATATTTGTATTCAATCACACAAGCACATTCATACAAATCTTTCATTTTCATGACTAAAACGTAATCTAATGTGGTAAAACATGCATGTAACGGAAAGGGTCTCATATTCTAATCTCCAAGCAGATGTCTGAAGGCAAAAGCGTTACGGTTAGAACTGGCCATCTAGAGAGAGTCCTGGGCCAACTTGGTAACTGCCTGGCCAATTTGATACTGTGCTTGCAGCCACCGAAAGATCTGATTGGAGATCACCAAATAATTCGCCACATAATTTTTACATCTAGCTAGGGCGTCGGATTACTTCTGATCTTGTTCGGTAAAGTTGAACAGTATCATTTCAAACGACATCACACGTTTTCCGAGGTAACGGTGTATAGGCCCATCTCCTTCACATTAGTACAGGAGCCCCCCACCGCCATTTTCACCCAATTATCCCCAATGTATCAGACAACCTGCTACAAGATCTCTACGGCTTACAACCTAGTTATGCCAATATGTCTCATATAAATTCCACTTTAACCTGAAGTCAGGTGCGTTTTGAAACCGTGCCATATTAAAATCCTTTTGGGCTACGAGAAGACGACCTCATGTCATTACTAACAGACAAGCTGATAATATTTCACCGAGATCATTTAATTAAGGACGACCTGTATATGCCAGAGAAGTAACGACAGTGGTATATATGAGTGTTGCTGACGCAAAACGCTCAGTCTGACGCACTCAGCAGCAAGAATGGTGATCATGATCAGTCACAATGTCCAGCAGACTATCTGTTGCCTTTGCGGACAGTCGATCGGCTCTAGTCAGTTTATGCTCATATCCATTTTAACCAGTTTAAAAAGTCTCTTGATTCACAGTATAGCCTCTACCAGGCTTCAGAAACGCGGCCAGAAAAAAGAATAGAAATTGGCTAAACAGATGCATATATGACATGCCAAGGGAGTTGGTCCGTTTGGTCAGTTTGCGCTTCTGAACTGTACTCTCTCGAAGACGTACCTGGCATGTTATCTGTCTGTTTGGCCAATTTCTAGTCTTTTATACTAGCCGCTTCCCCGAAGCCTGGTAGAGGCTATCACTGCCACCAGTAGAGTATATTACAACGTAACGTTTCGCGCAAACGGTCAGTCAGTCAGGACGCTCGAATTTGAATGGTCCTCCGTGTAGGATAATACTATGTCACCTACCACTGTGCCAACGCCGACGAACTCGCACGTTTTGTGATTCTACCGCAGTCACAAGGTTTACACAACCGACTCTCCCTCAGCCAGCAGACCACCGTCAGACATGGGAATTTCTGTGCTCTTGAACCTCATCATTGCCACCACATGTGGTGAGCGCAGCGAAAGCGTTAACGTGTTCCCACCGGATGTTCACACGTGTTCGCCACACATGGGATCCATAAGTCTTACAAGGATTAGACAATTTTCATGCCCGTGACTCTGGCAGCGCGCCCGGGCACCTGTCTGCCGAGACTTGGAGGTCCGCTTCCACGTCAACTGTTATCGTTCCAAGCGGTATTAAAAACGGTATATACATGTACGGGACCGAAAAACAATATCTGGACTTCGCCGCAAATATTTGGCACTGTACATCATGCATACCTTTGCCCCGAAAACATGATTCCGATATGTTCTTATTTTACGGCAATGCCAAGAACTCTTGTAACTTTATATTTGATACAAAGGGACGCCTGGTGCTGTCTTTGAACTTGTAACATTGTGTTTGTTACATGACACGGTGAAAGCAACCGAGTTTGACTGTGATCATGACCATCCAGAGATATCCCTGTTTTACTGTATTCTATTGGACTGTAATCAGGCCCTTACCTAGGCTCTGCCAGACCTCAGAAGCGGCTGGAAAGAGTAGAAATTATACCCAAATGGACAGATACATGCCTCCTCGGAAGGCAGCTTTGCTGGCCAACTCTCCTGGCATGTTATCTGCCTATTTGGCCAATTTCTACTCTTTCCAGCCGCTTCCGAAGCCTGGTAGAGGCTAACATTACAATGACCGTCTACTATGGTACAAGGTGGCGGGACCGACGGTATGGTATAAGGTGGTATGACGGGGACTTGCTAGCATACCCGTACTGGTTGTACGATGTAGCTATGGGGACATCGGATGGTTGTTCTGAGGCACTTTGTCATGCATAATACCATTCACAAATAAATGTTTTAATAAATGGTTTAACACCAACACCCATGCCCTGACGTTCATAAAGTTTTAGTTCATTGGAATGCCCTAAAAATTACCGTAGTGATTAACTTTTTTTGTAGCGTGCAACCATGCTATCCTACACTGCACAAAACGTTACAATAGACAGATATATCCGAGAGAATGACGCAACATATGGGTCATACACATGATAACTTGAAACTAAACATTTGTTCAATATCAAAGCAGTTATCTCTGCTTACCAAGTAATATTGCATCAAATTCAAGGAGACCAACCGTAATTTCTGACTGAAAACTACGACTCAAAATTGTACGTATACATGATGAATATGACTCACCAAAGATGAACCTACGTGGCCGCGAATTCGGGAGGGCCTCGGGCTGAACGACCAACCTGAAACTGATGGCACACGGAGGAACAGTCCATTCTACAGGTGCAGGGGAGGGCAAATCTCCATAGGAAGTAACAGCCTGAAGGGTACTAGTCGAAGTTTAACTCAACTAGAGAGAGGTTTCAAATCAAGCTTAAAGGAAACGGTCTTTTGAAATTGATTTCAATAAGTCTTTATGAATTACATCGTTGTTTGAAATTAGACTAAAATCAAGCTTAAGAGATTGCCTGTGGCATTTGACGTAAAATATACTTAGACTGTTTATTACAAAAAGGCTTCAAACTCACCGACAAGGAGGCACTGCAAGTAGCCAACAGGAAAATGAAGCAAAATTTACCCCCTACTCGACTGTAAATGGTACGGCCTGGGCATGTTTCCCGCCAGGCCCTTACATGCCAGAGATGCACGGCGAGTTCCCGCCAGAGTGGGTCAGGGGGTGGCGGGAACCGTAGGACCTCGCCTGACTATATCATTTATAAAAGGGAACGGTGACAGTTCGGGAACCCAAGGTCGCTTTCTGTCACGATCCTTTCTCGAGGATTAGCAAAAAGGCAGACGGTTTTTCGATGAGACGTTGTTCTGTGTTGCATTATACGGATCGTGTGAACTAACGTTATACCTTGCGGGGAATTCGAAAATAGCCAGGAAGGCTTTCAGAAGTCTTCATGCCTTTTCAATAAAGATCAATAAAACGTGTTCTATTATTGACATCGGGTTTAAAAAACTGTCTGCTCCAAACCGAAGGTCAGACATGTTATGTAACGGATGTCACTGGTTACATCTGAGGTGTCAGTCATGAGTTGATAACCCCTGTTGTGAGGCATGGAATGCATACATGAAGCCCACTTGTTTGATATAGTGTTAGGGGGCCTGGCCTTGGATGAGAGGGTGTTGGCCTGCAGTTTGTGGATTTGAATCAGACGATTTTCCTGATTAAATGTCATTAGGGACTGTACGATATTTACCGGGGGGGAGGGCTGGTGCGTTGGAAGTCCGGTCAAACATTTTTTCCATGGCCCTCCCCCCCCCCCCCCAATCTCAAAATTTTTTCCTTGGCCCTCCCCCCTCATCTCAAAAATTTTTCCATGGCCCTCCCCCTACAGGTATTACCCGTAATTTCCCGAATATAGTACGCATCCCGATTAAAGTTCGCACCCCCGATTTGGGGCTGGTGGGAGACAAATATTCCCGTCTGAAACGTAAAATGGAAAAACTCGAATAAAATACGCACTCCTTGTACGCACGGCCGGTGCCACTGTGGACCTGTATGTATGTCTTATTAAAAGACAGATCGTTCTAGAAAAAAAGCTATTTAAAAATAGATTTAGGCCGTGTACTACGGGATTGTGTGGTACTGGTTACAGTATTGTAGCGAGATTCGGAAACGTTTGGTGTTGGGGCTAGTTTCACCGCTGGCCGCAGCCGATTTGCAAGACGTCACCCCCGCATCGAAGGATAAGGCGAGTGCGGCGAAACGTACAGCTTTGGATCCCGGAGAGTGTTGGTGATCAAGCAACGGCCAATAAAGATTTGTAAAAAAAAAAAACAATATTCCAATATTTGTTTTATCGGTAACCGGGGGTAGTTGAATGTTGATGCAGAAGTACGTAGCTTTGTTGTTCTTTACTGTACGAAATGCACCGAACACTTCTTTATAATAATAGCGCCCGCCCATCGACCCAAGGGAAGCAAACAATCGTCGAGGCGGAGATCTGGGCGGAGTAGTGATGCTACTGTGGGTGTAGAAGTGCTACTAGATTTAAAATTTGACACCGAAATTAAAACAACAACAAAAGGCTACTGGGACTTGCGATTCCGAACAAGGGAGAGTGAAATGTCTGACTGCGTTTGAAATAATCTCTCGTAATGTGAGAGATGTTTTTGGCACAAAATCAAAGAGATATACACTTCAAATATGTATGGATGATGACAACCTGGCTACCAAACTAAAGAACTCAGTACAGTGCCGACTCACAAATGTTGCAAAAGTCACTATCACTACTGCAAATTTATTAATTTTGACACAACCCCTCCCCTTCTATCCCCTGTGGGCTAATTACACTCACAGGAAAGCTTTGATATGAAAGTATAATACTCATTGCAATACAGTAACAGGGGACAGGTAACAACTGTCTGGAAAAAAACTACTACTACTACGCTAGGTATTTACGCTAGTTATAAAGGCTAAGCCATTGACACTACCAAGGTACAACCAAACAAGCATTCAAGAATGAAGACGGTTCATTCATTCATTCAAAAAACAAGAAAAGTCAATTCAAGTACATGTACAATGTATTTTATTTCACACAACATGAACAGTCCACTAACTTAAGAAATGTAACAATTACCCGCTATCTACCCAAGGCATTGTCAGTAGGGAGAGCCACAATCTCTTGGTTGATTGCAAGGCGTTGAATATGTTGCAATGATACTCGGAGGGATATTTCTGGTGGGGCCCTCACCAGCAATGTCACTCGGAATGTCATCGAAACACATTCAAGCACCTTACCAACAACCAGGAAACAGTGATTATCCCTGCCAACAATAGTTCAGGTACACAGAAGGAACTGTTACATTTTTACAAGGTTAGACAAATCAGAAAATCATAAATCAAAAAATCAAATCAGAAAATCATAAATCAAAAAATCAAATCAGAAAATGATGGCGTTCTTCCGATGTCGTCACCTTCACCTATGAAAAGAAAGAAAAAAAAACGGGAAAAGTCAATTCAAGTACATGTACAATGTATTTTATTTCACATAGCATGTCTGTTTACACACAGCACGTGTACAGTCAGGCAGTCATTCGTCAGATAAACAGTACTGGTGGAGGCATGACAGGAAGTTAATGATTTGTGATGCAAAATTTTTGTCAACTAAGAAAATTAACAGTTACCCCTTCCCCAAAGCATTGTCAGCATGGCGGCAAGACATCGTCAGCATGGCGGCGATCTTCATGATGAGAGGTCGTCCGATCTTCACCTATGAAAACTCAAAAAGAGAATAGTCAATTCCGTACATATACAATGTATTTCATTTCACACAACATGAACAGTCTGGTGGAGGCATGACAGGAAGTTAATGATTTGTGATGAAAAATTTCCGTCCACTGAAAAATGTAACAATTACCCGCTATCTACCCAAGGCATTGTCAGTAGGGAGAGCCACAATCTCTTGATTGTTTGCAAGGCGACTTGAATATGTTGCAATGATACTCAGAGGGATATTTCTGGTGGGGCCCTCACCAGCAATGTCACTCGGAATGTCATCGAAACACATTCAAGCACCTTACCAACAACCAGGAAACAGTGATTATCCCTGCCAACAATAGTTCAGGTACACAGAAGGAACTGTTACATTTTTTCAGCTATAAAATCATAAATTATCAAATTACATCGATGAAGGTTAGACAATAATATGCTAAGTTACTCAAGCAACTGGATAAAATCATAAATCAGACAATCATAAATCAATCATAAAAT